CAATGGACACAATAAAATAGTTCAAATAAACTGCACAGGTGGTTGCACTAGTTTGTAAGGCAACAAAGGATCGCAAAGCAATCTCGTAGTAACGACTACTTCTCACAAATTGCAGTAAGGTATTTAAAGACATTTTTTTCCATGCGACAAGGCCTTTTCCAAAAGTTTGATTAAAAATGAGCAATCAGAGCAAAAAAGGAAAAACTTGCCGTCTGGAGCGAAGAAGCCGTGATAGTTTGCGCTGTAGATCTGAGATCTTCACAAACATTATTAGCTTCCTCTCTATGTCCATTCAGAAATAAGAGCGCAATATAAGTCAAAGTATTCTCCACAGACGGTGATCCTATTCTGAAATATGGAAGTTTTCCAAACTTTCAAAGAACTACCTCACGAGTGTGATAATTTCTATTAAAGGTTAGACGTGAAAAATACTAACCGACTTTCCCACAAGCTCTTAGCAACATCTAGCTTTCCATCGGTCAGTGCCGACGTGAGAGCATTGGAATGCATTTGTTTTGCTAACTCAAAGATTCGCGGTGGCGCTTTAGCAGAGGATTCTTTGATGAGGAGCGAATGACGAGAGACTTGTTGGTAGTTCATAGGCTACGAATAATTTCAGTAAGACAACTAACTATATAAGAAGCAAAATGTGGGAGACCTTTTCAAGTGAGATCTTTCTCAAAATAACTTCAAGAATCGTATCCGCTACAATAGGTTTGTAATCAGCCTGCTTACGGATGTGTGAAAGTTCTTCTTCGAGATCTTCAATAGAGGATGAAAGCCATCTTGTGTATGTCTTAATTAAACGTTATAAAGGAAAGGATTTATATGTCAGAACGTTAAACGTACTTGACTTTTCCTTCTCAGAATCTCCAATAGCTGTGCCTTCTCCTTTTGACCGCTTTCCTGGAGAGTTTTTTTACCCGCTGTGATGTCTTCAGATGATAACCGAATTCTTGGCTGAATATAAGAAAGTTTAGAAGATGGAAAATGCAGTTATGTTGACACAAAAATTTTTCGAGAACATTTAAGATGCGACATTCATAATGTACGTCACAGCTAAGGTAGGAGAGCGAGGGATATATCAATGTATCGATGGTGAAAGCTTGACTGACTATGGTACAGAGCGTCAAGCTCTCATCAGTTTTT